TACAATGTTTTCAAAATTAATTTTATTTTAAAAATGAAATTAGTTTTCTATTTCCGCATATAAAATATTATATGTCTCCAGAGTTCTATCCATCCGAAAGTGATGAGGCTGACTTCCTTCCTTAGTATTTGGAAGTCAGTTCTACAAATCTGGGTTATATGCATATGTAAATCAGTAGTTCATACTGCACAGTATCCATCTCCGCCTTTGTAAAAAGACATAATAATGTCTGCCTTGCTGAGCTGTTGTGAAGATTAAGTGGAGTGGTGTCAGTAAAATCCTACTGCACACAGTTGTCAGTTTATTAGACAGTAACCATTGCTACTTAATTTCACCATACAATTGCACTTTAGCTATAAAGCATATTAGAAAATAGTCACCAAGACATTCTAATCTTGGAGTGAATAAAACAGAGAGCAAAATGGTTTTTAGGAAACAATCCGAATTTTTTGTGTAGTGTTATCTTTGTAATAATATAAAAATGCATCTTTGAAGACTATGGTATTCTGGCTGTGCTTTCTACCTATGCAACTAAATGAATATTCTTGATACAGGGATTCATTCAGATACTTCCCTTTTTTCCTTGATATGACCATCTAAAATAACTCACGCATTTAAAACTGGAGTATCCTGTCAGTCCATTTGCCTCTCTTAAAAATGTCTTTCTAGTCTTATGCATTTGACTTACCTATCAAAATTCAGTAAGAAAGTGGACTTTCTTGAGAGAGTCTGTACTCTAACTCCTTATCCCATAGTGACTTCATCAAAAATGACTGAGGTATAATAAGTAACAAAGATGAGTATGCAGTGTTAAAACTGTTTTTTTGTGGGCTCAGTGGTCTTTCTTGTTAAAACTGTACAAATGGTATAGTTTCTGTTAAAACAGTCCAACTCCAAAATAAACATTTGAACAATTTTAAATCTATGCATGTGTGGGGGTTTCAAAAAGTTCACAGAAGTTGTTATTTTGAAACAACTCTGCATGTATTTCAAAAATTTCTTGCACCAAAATAAACTTGTCTTCTAATTCCATTTCCCCAAAGCTTTTTGAAGTACCTTCATATGCTTTATATGTAAATACAATCATATGTACATAAATATATGCTTTCAAATGTATACTTAAAGTAGTTTATGGTAGATTCTAGAGTGCTGAACAAAAGCAATTAAGTATTTTAATTAACAGTTTAAGAACTACTTTTTCTTACTTACAAAAAAGAAACCATCCCACCCTCTGTTAAAATTAGTTCAGATAACTTCTCTTTTATGAAATGTACGGGCTTCAGATAAACTAAGGAGGCAGTCAGTAGAGTGAATTCCACATTTTCAAAATACCTTTCTATCTTTTGCTAAACATATTTAACCATTTATATGTAGTTACGAGACTTCGCTTGTTCAATGTGATGTGAATAGAGGTCAGGTGTGCCATTTCCAAAGATGATTAAAAAAAAAAACATACAAATAAACATCGAAGTAGATTAAAAATTGTCACTTCTCAATTTTCTGATTGTAGTTTTTACAGATTTGTACTAATAAAATTTAAGATAATATCCAAATTAAAGGACACTTCACAGAAATCTTTATACCATGGCAGATCCTGTCCTTGGGTGTTCAGTGAATATGCCAGCACACGGAGAATCCTGAGGTCATGACAAGCAGAGATCAAGGCTCCCAGGTGGGGTTTGGTCAGAAAAGAGGTGGTTCTGATCTTTAGCAGACACATGACAAAGGTTACACAAGCTCCCGGGTTCTGCTTCCAGTCCCTCTTCAGCAGGCTGTTCCCCAAGTGACTCATTCTTTGCCTGTCCCGCAGCAAAGCCTACTAATTCCTAGGTTTATCCTCTTTCACATGCCATGATTATATTATGCTTAAAGTTAGGACCTAACCTTGCCTACCTATTGTTAAAATCCCACGGATGGAGATGTCATCTATTTTCCATCTCCAACTTGCTGTAGACTTCTGAATATTCCATGTCTCTACCATACTCTGGCTCTAAGATATTGAATGAAACACTGTATTCCTCGTTAGTTTATAGAAATATGTTTTTTTAAGTACTAGATTGATATCTGACTTAATCTCTTTAAGAAGGAGACTTCTAGCCGGCGCTGCGGCTCACTAGGCTAATCCTCCGCCTAGCGGCGCCAGCACACCGGGTTCTAGTCCCGGTTGGGGCGCCGGATTCTGTCCCGGTTGCCCTTCTTCCAGGCCAGCTCTCTGCTGTGGCCCGGGAGTACAGTGGAGGATGGCCCAGGTGCTTGGGCCCTGCACCCCATGGGAAACCAGGAAAAGCACCTGGCTTCTGGCTCCTGCCATCGGATCAGCGCGGTGCGCCGGCTGCAGCACGCCGGCTGCGTCGGCCATTGGAAGGTGAACCAACGGCAAAGGAAGACCTTTCTCTCTGTCTCTCTCTCTCACTGTCCACTCTGCCTATCAAAAAAAAAAAAAAAAAAAAGGAGACTTCTAAAATCAATCATCATTTTAAGATAAATATCACAAAATGGCCAATAAAACCCCCCAAATAAGTAGGAATCCATGAGAATCTGTGTGGAATAGGACTGGCATTCTAACCCCATGATTTTTCTTTTTATTGCATTCTCAATTTTTATATGAGACTTCAAAATAAGAGTGTTGGCAATGTTCAAGGACTAGAAGTTCAGCTTCCAATAATGCAGACCCTGGGACACAACAGGTAATGGTTCAAGTACCTGCATCCCTGCTGCCTACAATGGAGGTCTGGACTTTATTCCTGGTTTCGGACTCCAGCCCCCACACAGCCTTGGCCATTGCAGGCATTTGAATGAACCAGCCGAATGGAGCTCTCTGTTCCTGTTTCTTCAATTAAAAATTAAAATATAAAAGATTTTTGTGTTATGTCTACACAAACATTTTATTCAAATAATAGACCATTGCTTCTGCAATGATAATCCTAATTTCTGAAAGGAAAAGAGTTGCAAATCGCTTTTATTGCACAGAACTTGTCATGTAATAACAAATTTATTGGAAAATTATAATGAATACATTTAGTTTAATTATATTTCCAGTCTTTCATTTTTAAACAGGCTAGCTGTATTCTCTTAGCTTAAAGAGATGGTCATATAATATGTCTAAGAGTTTCACTAAGCAGAGGAAGAAAATAATATATTGAAATAAATGAGTAATATCTGATTAAATTCCAGTGTTATTTCCTTAATATCTTGATATTAAACTAAACAAGATGTGGTCAACCTTTTTATCCAAGTGTAAATACCTAATAAATAAAACATAACATGCAGGCAGGGATCTCTCACAGTGGTGTAGATGTAACTTGGATGTACATGTATCATACTGGGGTGCCCAGGGTTTTAGTCCTGCTTCTATCAATTCCAACTTTTGCTAAGGCACATGGTAGAAGGCAGCAGGTGAGGACCCAAGTACTTGATCCCTGCCACCCATCTGAGACCCAGGCTGAGTTCCAGGTTTCTGGGTTCAGCCTGGCTCATTTGGGGTTGTTGCGGGTATTTGGAGAATAAACCAATGGGTAGAATATATTTTCTCCCTCTGTCTCTCTCTCTCCGTCTCACACCTTCCCTCTCTTTCAAATAAATAAAAAGTCTTAAAAATTGAAAACTATATGTTGAAGAAATCTAATAAAAGAGTAAACACCTTAAAAAGCAGAAGCATAAATTCGTTAGGGTTAGTGGGGACTGTTGTGTACATGTATATGTGAGAAACGTGTTTTTCTCATATTTCACTTAAACACAATTTTCCCAAATACTTGAAGTTAAATGGCACATACAATCAATTAGGATTTTTATCAGTTATCTCATTGTGAATAACATAAAATGCTAGACTGCATTAACCAGTTTACAAAGAAAATTGGGTCTACGACACTTTCCAGTTCCTTTATTGAACCATTAGTCAATCAGGTAACACCGCTTATTTTTCTGGAGTTTTACAGTTAGCCAATAACTTTATATTGAGTATCTCATTTGTCCTTCAAAGCAATCTTATGAATAAGGTAAATAAGAAATTATTCCTTTCATTTTCTCAATGAGAAAACTGAGGCCAAGCAAATTAGGGACTACTCAGATGATAAATGTTGAAGATACAACTGAAATTAGAATCTTGTAACTGAGCATACTCCCCTTTTCATGACACAATAAATATTGACTATCAACCTACTACACATGTAAGTGGAAGCTGTTGAGTAAGCAATATTAAGCTGTTTCAAAATAGTAAACTCAGTACAATTTTTAGACTTATATTAGTATCAGATCCATTTGATGTTAAAGAGTCAGAAACTTTCTGAGTCACTGAAACTTTCCAGTGACTTTTCCCGTTGAAGGAGACAAAATTTTGAGCTCACTTTTAAATTCTATCCATATAAACATGCCAGTAATATCCTAATAATACATATATCTGTGCATGCACTCCGGTATATACACACATACATGCACATGTATATAGGATATACATTTTAGCATATTCCTTCATTTCACAATTGAGTGATGCAGAAATAGACTAAATCTGGGGCCGGCACCACGGCTCAATAGGCTAATCCTCCGCCTGCGGCACCGGCACACCGGGTTCTAGTCCCGTTCGGGGTGCCGGATTCTGTCCCGGTTGCCCCTCTTCCAGTACAGCTCTCTGCTGTGGCCCAGGAGTACAGTGGAGAATGGCCCAGGTGCTTGGGCCCTCCACCCGCATGGGAGACCAGGAGAAGCACCTGGCTCCTGCCTTCGGATGAGCGCGGTGCGCCGGCCGCGGCAGCCATTGGAGGGTGAACCAACGGCAAAGGAAGACCTTTCCCTCTGTCTCCCTTTCACTGTCTATAACTCTCTGTCTCTCTCTCACACTGTCCACTCTGCCTGTCAAAAAAAAAAAAAAAAAGAAATAGACTAAATCTGGTAATCTTTCATATCAACACAAACGATGTATCTTGCGTATTTTTCCTTAAAAAGCAATACCCTGTCGAAAATCTCAATATATAACCATGTAAATGAAATTGAATAAAAATAAATACCTATACATCAAGAGCCCTGGTGCTGTACATCTTGATGGAGATGGACACGGTTCACCCAACTCACAGTCCTCTGAGCAACTCGCAACTGATGTATGTGCCATTACTGTGCATATCTAAAGAGACACACAGAAGTGACAGCAAAATGAGGGAACATATATTATTTCCTACCATTTGCACTATACTATTTTTCCAATCTATAGCATCACCATAATCATCATGCTAGTCAAAGATATTTTGATAAGCAGTCCAATTGAAGGACCTGAATGTACTGATCTGTGTTTTCCAGACAATAAGAAGTACAGCATTCGGGATGTACTATAGAGTCATTAAATACTAAGTCTGTTTGAGAAGAAGGAAATCTAGTAGCAAGTCGGTGTAACATTTCTAGAAGGCCATACATTTATCACTAGGCAACAAAAAACCACAAATGTATTCCCTCATACGGATTTTCTAAGGGCCTATGTACACAGCATGACATGCCTGCATATACTTCACTCAGTCTTCACCACAAAGCTGCTACACAGGGAGTCGTCTCACTTTGCAAACGTAAAGCTCAGGGTGTTAAAGTAATTGGCCTCTGGCTCTGCAAGCTACAGAAGTTGTTCCTTCACCATAGCATGTGGAGCACACATTTCTTCCTATGGTATTTGTGTTCCATTCATCCTACAACATGATGACAGCTAGCAAAATTATTGTATCTAGATATATCTCATTAGTTCTCTGAAAGACCAGGCACAGTATTTTACCTATTTTTGTATGGCAAGACACATATCAAATGAGGATCACACTTTGGGATATAGTGCCTGGCACATGCAAATATTGGCTGAGTAGCAGAATGAATGAGTGGCATCAAAAATAGTAGGTATTGGCATCTATTTTCTGTCTGTAATCACACTTTTGTCAATTCTTTAATTTACTTGCCAAAGTTATGTTCCTGTTGGCAACACAATCTCAAAAGAAAAAAGTAGAAGTAATAATAGGAAAAATCATTTGAATGAAGTTCAAACATGTTCATTCAAAAAAATTACACACCAGTTAGTTTAATTTAGTTCAGTTAGTTTTCTGGAAAAAAATAAAAAAAAAAAATAGGCTAGGTACTAGTGCTGTGTCCCAGCTGCTCCACTTCCAATCCAGCTCTCTGCTATGGCCTAGGAAAGCAGTAAAAGATGGCCCAAGTCCTTGGGCCTCTGCACCCACTTGGGAGACCAGGAAGCTGCTCCTGGCTCCTGGCTTCAGATTGGAACAGCTCCAGCCGTTGTGGCCCTCTGGGGAGTGAACCAGCAGATGGAAGGGCACTCTTCATCTACCTCTGTCTCTCTGTAACTCTGCCTTTCAAATAAAATAAATAAATCTTTTTTTAAAAAAAAATAGGCTCAAGGGAAAATAGCAAAGTAATAATTATACAGGCAACGATAAAGAAAAAAGAAAATCACATTTCACTTCAACTTGCTAATAGGACCTATATACTTATCTATTCCCCTGCATGTATGTAGGAGACAACTGAATTTGTCAAAGTCTAGCAGTAGAAGCTGCAAGAGGTAGGATCAGGAAACCAGGTACTATGAAAATCTGCTCTGGACTAGAGATGCTGTAGAAAAACAGCCAATTTGGGCTTCTTAACGGTCAGATCCCAATTTGCCATGCAGTGTCACGGCACAATATTCACAGCAAGCATGGGAAACCTGTGGCCCACTACCAGTTTTTATATATACTGTGAGCTAAGAATGGCGTTTACATTTTCAAATGTTTTAAATAATTGTGTACATTATTTTAAATGCAAATGCAAGTCTATAAATAAGGTTATGCTGGAATACAGCCACAGTCATCGATTTGCATACGATCTGAAGCTGCTTTCATGCTCAGTGTCAGGTTTGAGTAGCTGTGACACAGACAGTATGACCTGCAAACTCATGAAAACACAGTCATCTCCAGGTATCCTTGGGGGATTGGTTCCAGGACCATGGATATGACAACCTGTGCATGCTCCACATCCCTTACATAAATGGCAGAGGGTTTGCGTCTAACCTACACCTATCCTCCCACATGCTTTAAACCACTTGTAGGTGAGTTCTAACACCTAACACTGCAATAGTATGAACACTGTTATTATGCTGTACCGTTTAGGGAATAATGACCAGAAAAGCCTGTACATGTTCATTACAGATGCAATTTTTCCCCAAAAATCTTCACCCCATGATCGGTTCTATCTGTGGATACAGAACCTACAGATACAGAGCACTGACTGAATACTATCCGACTCCTGACAGAAGGTTTCCAGTCTACACAAATTTAACTTCTCAATTTGGAGGACATTCTTTCAGAGGAAGGGGTGCTTTAGGGCGGACTGGAAGGAGGGTAGGAGTACGATTCTCAACAGACACCCAAGAGCCCCGGGGCAATGCCATAACAGCACTGGGAACAGCAAAGCTTTTCCCTGGGGAAGACACGGGAAAGGTCACACACAGCCCATCCTAGTGCCAGACACTAGGATGCATTGGATGGGCCAATGCATATGCATGAAGAAAGCTGTCCACTGGGATACTGTCATTCTGTAACTTGCCAGATGAAGTTCTCCTGCAGGAAATCTTCAAAGCTCTTTCTTCCTACATGTGCCAACCTTCACAGTGACAATAACTGAGATAACCCACTCTTTCCCTGGAGGGGAAAAGGAGGATAAGAGCAAGCAGAAAAATTTGAAACAGGATAAAAGCACTCCATCCATCTCATCTAATGGCAAAAGTGGATCATACCAGGGATGCATGGATGGGAAGCAAAAAGGCTACAAAAAAGAATCTGCTTTGTTGCACAAGAATAACATAGCTTTCTACAGGGTGGAAGCATTTACTTTTAAAAGACATCAAAAGAAAAAGTAGTTTTATAAAATATCAACTTCATGCTTGCAATAAAATTTAAGACAACAGATACCAAAATCCCCAACATTATCTTCAATCAGAGATAATTATGTCCAAATAAATGAGAAGACACCAAGGTGGTTTCCCATTAAATTGTATGTTAAAGGGAAGAAAAGATGGGTTTTGGGATGGGCACTGTGGTATAACAGCTAAGTCATACTGAAGAGCCTGGGAGTGAGTCCTGCCTCAGCTTCTGATCCAGGTTCCTGTTAATGTGCCTAGGAGGCAGCAGATGATGGCCCACCCACTTGGGTTCCTGTCACTCACAGCCTGGTCCAGCCGTGCTGTTGTGGGCATTTGGGGAGTAAACCTGAAAATCTTTCTTCATTTCTCCCTGTCTCTCATGCCACCTTTCAAACAAACAAATCTTTATAGGTTTGGAGCAAGACGATTTGACTCTGAATATCAATTCCAACATTTTCTTTCCCCTTGATCTTAAGCAACTAACCTCCTATTCAAAGCATTTCATCTCCTCTCAAATAGAGTGATTCTGAGAGTTGTAAGACAAAATATGTATCAAGTACATAGCCTACTGCCTGTCATATGGGAGGGACATGGTATTTACTCTCAAGTATTGGCCCTATCTTACATTCCCTTCTCTGTTCATATTAAGTCACACACCATGACCATGGAGGGTATAGGGATATGGTTGCCAGACACTCAAGGTTCTGCCATGTTCCATTCTTGGTTTTGCACTTTGTTTTCTCTGGATAGGATGCTCCTTTTAATTTTGTGTTCTGCTGCAAACTGGCATTCATTTGAGAATTAATCTAAATCAGAAACAAATTCTGAACCATCCTTAGTCCCTTAGGATAAATACACTGCCAAACACTTTGTACATCCATCAATTAATATAACTTGTAGTCTGCTTACACGTCTATCTTTCCAGGAGGCTTTATCTTGGTCATCCTCATTGCTGTGATATCAAACTAATTATAGTCTCATGGAAGAGAAGACACATTAGAAAAGCACACACACACACACACTCACACACACACACACATATTTCAGCCTATTAATTGGCCTAGCAATAAAGGTGGCACAGGGGTCTTTTTATGTTGTTGAATTGGTAATGCCTCCTTCATGTCACATGCAACCTAAAGTAGAGCAGAGTCTTCAGATCTGCAAGGTGCACAGCAAGTTCTAATATTTGTTGAAAGAATAAATGAAACAACATAGAAATAAAAGAAAGGGAAAAATGAGGATTTGGCACATAAAAAATGAATACTTTTCGAGTTGCTAGTGGCATTGACTGCTTAATTATCCTTGATATTCAACTGGCAATATGTACAAAACCTCATATTAATTTTATAAATGTGCATAAATCAGGGTTAGAAGTAATTACCAGTAACAATCTTCCCTTGCATCTGAAGTCATGATTCACTAGCCTCAGTGGTAGGAACAAACTGTTCAGTCAGCATTACTTTGTAAGATAAGCATGGTGAAAGTGAAGGAAAAAATTGTACATTTTTCTTGACTATTACAAAGATAATAGAAACTCTTGGTATATCAAATTCTAATGTCTAGGAATTTACATGCACTGAACTAAGCTTGCTCTCTTCTTTTTTAAAAGAGGCTTTTAAGAGAACATTTATTGTGTAAGCTATCAATAAATGGTAGTTGATGCTACTATTATTAGCAACACAACCCAACAAATAAACACTGTGCCATGTTAATATATAATATTTTACAGCTATAATAAATTTGGAAGTTTTGCTGACATGAAAAATGTGTATAAAGTATTGAATATAAAATGTTACATAAGGTAACTTAAAATTATTGGCAATAATATGTATGATAAAAATTGGAAAATAATGTGAAGAAAATAAGAACTGTCTAGTTAAAATTAAAATTTGAATTTCCCAAACTTATTTGAGATAGTGCAAATTTGTGTCCAAATTTATGTTAAAAAGATAATATGTATACATGTCTAAAATCCTGGGATTTCTCCACTTTGAAATTTCATTTTTTTCTGAGAGAAAAATAAACCACCATTTTTAAAAAGATTTATTTATTTATTTGAAAGGCACAGTGACAGAAAGAGAAAGAGAAAGAGAGAGGTCTTCCATCTGCTGGTTCACTCCCTAAATGGCTGCAATGGCTGGAGCTGGACCCATTTGAAGCCAGGAGCCAAGAACTTGATCTGGATCTCCCTCATAGATGCAGGGGCAGAAGCACTTTGGCTTCCTTCCTCTGCTTTCCAAGGTACATTAGCAGGGAGTTAGATCAGAAGTGGAGCAGCCAGGACTGGAACTGGAGTCCATATGGGACACTGGCACTGCAGGGGGCAGCTTTACCCACTATACCACAGCCCTGGCCCACACTTGTTTTCTTAAGAGCAGTTTTTGTTTATCTATTTATTTATTATTAGTGATGGAAAAGAGGCAGATGAAAAAAGTAAAGCATTAGTGAAGTGAACCATTTAAATAATGTAGCTCACTTAAAATAGTCGTAGTTTATCTTAAGCCTTCCTGATCAGCATAAGCAATCAACACATTATGGTTCTCAGTTCTGCATACAACATTTAAATTATGTTAATACTTTGTGAAGATGAAATAGTCAACACGGGCTGAAAAGGAGCTTACTTACTTTACATATGCTACACATGTCATGATGTGTGTAATATATATGAGAAAGAGAAATTATAGAACCATCAGCAATGGCAACAGCTATTGCAGAAAAGGAGGAGGAGGAACAACCAACAAGGGAGACAGTTGTGCTCAGATAGCTGTGGAAGGCTCATTTGGATGGAGAATAAGTGGCAAACCAGTTCATCTTAACATTAGACTTTCACCCAAAGCAAGTTCTAGCCAGCAGCACTCATTTGTGAAGCAACTGATGTTCACTTATTCTCAGCATATTACAACAGAGGTACCAACATTTGAAAGAATTCTGTGTAATCAAAAGCATCTTCTAACAAAGACAGAACAAAAAGTGCCTTTGGTTGTCTAGCTATGGGCCCTACTCATCAGGGAATTGGAGCAGCTCGTGTGTGTGAGGGGGTGGCTTACTTTCCTCTAACAATGATGCCCTGGGCCTCATATCTGAAAAAATCCAGGCTCAAGCATGCCAAGCTTTTGGTAGGCCTAGGGGTAGATTCTGATATTCTTCATGAAAATGAACAATAACTGAAAAGCTACCTGAAGCTTATTTTTTTTCTGTATTGAGATTCTAAAGTTATTTTTCATTAGAAATTATTTTATTATCTTTATTTGAGAGCCATGGTAGTAAGATAAGAAGAAGAAATCAAAGAGAAAGACTTGATGGAAAAGGAGAGGTATAATGAAGGCAGGAAGTGTATTTCTAATTTATTTTAAATTGCTCCTGGGTAGGGTTCTATGTGTGGTTTACATTTATAATGAGACAACTGTCACTTCATGCTTATATTTATTGACTATTAAACTTTAAAGACCAGTTATACTGAAAATTCACTTCTGTGTTTATCCTACATTTGCTGTGCTGATGTTCCAATTACTCTTTTCTATTAAGTTTAAATAAAGGGAATTAAATTAACTAGACAAAAATCAGTGGGTATTTTTCACATGTAACTTACAAAATACAAGCAATAGCCTCCAAGTCTATTTTAATTTTAAATTTAGCTCCAACATCCTCTAATTGGGTTGAAACATCCATTTTGCAGGCAATGGATAAAGGGCTCACTCATGAATCAAAGCTGTCAGGATAGTACAGAAGTGGTCAAGCCACTTGACCAGGGGCAAGGTAGAGTGTAGCTAATGCAAAGCAGCAGTCAGGAGTTAGGGCAAAGGGCCAACATAGAGAAAGTAGCAAACATTTTCTCTTGGCATCTTGGGGTTAGTAATGGTGGTGGCGAATAACTTTTAGAGAGACTCTCATCACACTTTGTAATTGCACTGAAGATGATAACTATGTAAATTAAAGGAAGGCATCCATGGAAAATCTTCCCCAAAGGTTAAACTATAATTTCATTATTTTAGCCAATAGTCCTGTTCCTCTCTTTTTTCTGCTTCTGCCCCCCTCTTTTCCTCCTCCTTCTCCTTCTCATTCTGTTCAGCAGTAGTACCACAATTACCACTGTTCATTTGCCTAACTGTGAGCTATGCACTTCAATAAGTTCTTTACAGATGTATTTTTTCTTTTCACAATGTCCCAACATCACTATCATTAACATTTATATTACACAGAAGCTGACATTTCAAAGTCAAATATCCAGTGAGTAGGAAAAGGTAAAAATCAACCCTAATCTGATTATTTTATTAATAATGAAATAATTCCAAGGACTCTGTGCGAATGCAGAACTCATTGTGACACTGCAGCTGCTGAGCATATAAAGAATTAGGATGATTGAAGGAGTGGAATTTGGGAACTGAATTAAGGTACCCATCAGAAAAAATTCTATATAGAGAGACATACCCAACAAAACACTATCACAATAAAAGCAGCAGCATTAGAACTTAGGGAACAAATGTAATTAATTTCTGAACCTTAATGGTCGGAGTATTTTAAGTGATAATTTACCAGTTTACTGGCAGATTTAAAAAAAAAAAAAGAATAACTGATACCAGACTAGGAGATATGTCTAGGCTAGAAGAGTCAATAGGAGATATTTCTTTAACACATTGCAACAAAATTGGCAACCAGTCTATGCATATCTTAGACATTTAAAATATACTGGGGATACGTATATGCTAAGCAGTCAAGGAAAGCCAACTTATAAGTTAACTGTGAAACCCAAGGAAAGAACAACACACTTAATCACCATCTTACGACTTAATTCCACTTCCCAAATGCTGAAGCTTTCTATCAGAACAATTCAACAGAGGAAAAACACGTTTTTAGATTGCAATGGAAAAGGCTCCCTTATAACTTCTTCTAAGTAGTCCACTAGGAAACATAATATGTAACTATCAATTGTGCAAAAAGTCAGTGCACTAGCAATTCTGAAACCTGAAAAGACCCTCGCTTTTCTAAAAGTAGAGTAAGAAACAAAGCAGTCAAAAGAACACAAAAATCCCCACGGTTGGTTTTCTCTGTGTGCAGTAACAGCCTGGAAGTTTAGATTTGTGCCTTCATGAGGCCTTCAAATACTTGCCAAAGTATGTCTTGAAATTAAGTGATGTAGAAATCATAGTCCCCTCACGTGAATACAGTAATTTTCAACAAGATGACTGATTTTACATTGAGGGTACAGAGGTGTCTCAGGTGTGTTTCAGGATGCCTGCGGCTCTAACAAATGCTCTCTGATTTGTGGAAATGATGGCATGCCTCTCAGGTGAGGGCAGAGTTAAACTCAACTGCAGCAGCATTCAAGGAAGACAGCAGTACCTTGTCCATCGCAAGAGAGATTCTTTGCCATAGGAGAATAACTTTAGCAAAGAAAGAGCATAACTAGTTCCTCCATCCAGGGCTGCCAAATAAAATACAGAATACGTCAATTACATGCACCTCCAGGTATTGCTCACTTTGGGAACTGGAAATCCAAACGCAAGTTTATAAAACTCAACAAGGCCCTGACTGTTGATGAACAACTTAATACTTGATCCCATTTAGTATTTTTTTTTTATCTATTTAATACTATTGGTTGAACTCTTTAATTAACACACAATTACTCTTAGGTGTTTAAATTTAGTTGAAAATTGATCCCTGTTACATGTAAGAGTGGGAATAAGAGAGAGAGGAGATGTACAATTTGGGACATACTCAATCAGTCTTCCCCAAAAGGTAGAGTTAGAAACGTGCCAGGGGATTCCAATTCAATCCCATCAAGGTGGAATGTACCAATTCCATCTCATTAGTCCAAATGATCAGTTCCAGTTCACAATTGATCATAATGATAGGATTAAGAGTCAAAGGGATCATATAAACAAGACCAGTGTCTGCTAATACTAACTGATAGAATTAAAAAGGGAGAGAATGATCCAACATGGAAAGTGGGATACACAGCAGACTCACAGAATGGCAGATTTCCTAAACAGCACTCTGGCTTCAGATTCAGCCCTTAAGGCATTCAGATTTGACTGAAGATCCCATGAGAGTATTTTAGGCATGGGATGCCAAGACACTCTGGGAAAAACAAACAAAAAACCTAAATGAAAGATCTCTGTGAGTGAGATCCCAGTGGAAAGAACCGGGCCATCAAAGAAGGAGGTACCTTTCTCTGCAGGGAGGAGAGAACTTCCACTTTGACTATGACCCTGTCGGAATAAGATTGAAGTCAGCGAACTCAAAAGGCTTCCATAGCCTTGGCAACTCATGACAAGAGTCTAGGGTGATTACTGACGCCATAAACAAGAGTGTCAAATTGTTAAGTCAACAACAGGAGTCACTGTGCACTTACTTCCCATGTAGGATCTCTGCCCTTAATGTGTTGTACAATGTGAATTAATGCTATAACTAGTACTCAAACAGTACTTTACACTTTGTGTTTCTGTGGGGGTGCGAACTGTTGAAATCTTTACTTAATATATACTAAATTGATGTTCTATATATAAAGAGAATTGAAAATGAATCTTGATGTGAATGGGATAGGAGAGGGAGCAGGAGATGGAAGGGTTGCGAGTGGGAGGGAAGTTATTGGGGGGGGGGAGCCACTGTAATCCAAAAGCTGTACTTTGGAAATTTATGTTTATTAAATAAAAGTTAAAAAAAAAAAAGAACACGAAGCTAACATAAACCAGTGTTAACCCTGCCTTCTTAGTAACTGGGGGCAACATACTCAATGCCTAACTAGACACAGACCTGGAAATCCAGCAACGGAGCCTAACTTACTGACTCTGACATTTTCAGCAGGCTTGCAGTTGTGAAAGCCATGCACGTTGTTTACCTACTCATGCTTTTGATCCACTAACCTGCCTCAGGCTCATCAGTGGTTCCAGGCCAGGTCATCTTCAAAGTCAGGTTCAAGGTCAAATTGCAACAGCCTCTCTTCCAAGGCCCAGGTCTCCCTCCCAGTCTTTAACAGACTCATGTTTGTAGTGGACTAACCTGTGACACTGCCCATCCACAGCCACTGATTTCCATGAAGTTGACTCCTGAGAAAGAAGCATCAACAGCAACTGCAGATATGAAATCTACTATGTAATTTATGAGCAGAAAAAAATATAGGAACATGGAAGACAAATTTTCCCCATGGGATAGGTATTTTAAGCCTAAGTAAGACTAACAGCAACACAAGAGCCACTACAATTAGCTGACAAAGAGTGTGAAAGCATTTTTACAAGGTACAGTAACACTCCGTGTAGGTGTAGGGTACTAAAATCCAAAGCAAAACAAAAGGAAAAGGAAAAGACTTAGAACATATAAGAGAGGAAACAGCTTGATTTTCTTTCAGGAAAGATACCATCTTCAAAACAAGTCTTCACTCAAGGTTAACAGCTATCTGTCATGCTAATGTCCCCTTCAAAAGCCCTACAACACTCACAGTTAATTTTTACTATTCATTACTATTTATTGAGGGTCTCCTAAGTACTGGATAAAGTGATTAATGTTCTAACTTTATTTCATTTAATCTTCATTCCAATCTTGAAAATTTGTATTTGTTTTATTTTACAGGTACAGAAACTGTTAGGTTTTATTTTGCACATTCCATTCACTTTCTACCACACAACTACTTATTTTGCTTTTCTATTTCAGAGAGCATCTCTGAACTCAGACATGATAAGTTAGACACTGGGAAACAAGGTGGGGCTGCTCATTCTGGTTGCAGCACTTAGTTACAGCATAGCAACCTAACCCTCAATGCATCTCCCAGTCTATTTTTTTTAAAGAATTATTTTATTTATTTGAAAAAGGAGTTACAGAGAGAAGTAGAGCCAGAGAGAGATAGAGGTCTTCCATTCCACTGGTTCACTCCCCAAATGACCACTACTGCCAGAGCTGAGCTGATCTGAAGCCAGGAACCTTTCCCAGGTCTCCCATGTGGGTGCAGGGGCCCAAGGAGTTGGGCCATCTTCTGCTTTCCCAGGCTAGAGCAGAGAGCTGGATTCGAAGAGGAGCTGCCAGGACTCGAACTGGTGCCCACATGGGATGTCAGGGCTGCAGGCTGGGGCTTTAAGTCGCTATCACAGTCTATTAAATGGGATTCATTCCCCCAGCTCCAGAAAATTAAATAGCTAAAACGATATCTCCAGGAAGACACACAGAAGTTAAAGATATACACATGCAATCAGTATAGCTGTTCTCCTAAAATGAACATTTTCATTCCAGTACTCATGGAATGGTGTAGAAAGGAAGTGAAGTACCTCCCCTTAACTAGCAAGAGCTGCCCAGTCAGCCTCAGGATAATTGGGATAGTAGACCGAGCAGCCAGGGTAGACTCAGGGCAGTGATAGAGTTTTACAAGCTTAGGGAGTTGAGCTTAAATACAGAGCCCTTATTTTGTAGGTTTTGTTTTCACCTCCAAATGAAAATCAAGGAAGGAAAGGAACAGGATGCTTTTCTTTTCTAAAAAGAAAGACGTTTTTCACTCTTAATGGGAATGAGTATGCTTCAAAACATACTTCCAGCAGTCACAACCATTTAATTAGAGATTTTCATTAAGGGGCTATTTTGAAAAATAGTAAAACTTTATTTTTTCCATGCAATGAATGAATTAGAGAGAAAAGCAATGAGCAGACATGAATTTTAGCTGAATCTGCTGCAATCGTGTTGTTCACATTTATTTGAAGATGATTTATGGCACATATTTATAGTAAAGATTATATATTACAGTTCACCAGAGGGACTTTTTTCTTATTGCCTTTCCCCCATATTCGTAATTACTTTTATACTTAGCTTCCTAGTTTTCATTACACTTCAAGATTTCCCAGGATCTTAGTGTTCAATTTTATCAAGTGCAGCAGAACTCCTACATACCTTTTAAGAAAAATTCTTCAAATTAGAAATACATTCTAGAAACATTCCTTCCTAAAAGACAAAGTGTACAGCATATGTGATTTTTTTTCCTTAGTATAACTAAGTTCATGATCATTTTAAATGTGTAGTTCATAACTCTTTTTAAGAAGACTTAAAGAAAACGCTACTCTAACATTTTATGAATCCTGACATGATCAAACTATGTAATTTATACTTCATACTTAAATATAATCATTGGCACTTATAAAACTATTTTTAAAGTTTTTTGTTCAGATATTCTCAGCATCTTCCAACATTTTAAAATGTGATTTCTCTTCATTTAAATTCACCATTTCTGCCAAATGTGTCCTTTCTCTTGCTTTTGTCCTCAAAGCCTTTACAATATAGAAGCTAAATAGAATAATATATAACAACATCTGAAATAAGTCCTAGTTATTCCTAACTATGAAACACACTAATACAGTAATATTGATAAAAACAACAACAACAAAACATGATTCTAGGTACCATGAGGCACTCACATGCTTTGATTACATAACCAAGAGCATAAGATTCAGAAGAGGGGGAGGAAAAAGAACATAGAAAAGCTTATCTTGCAAGACTGTTCACAGAGGGGGCCAGACCAACATGAACCAGAAACGGTTATAGCTCCAAAAAACAGACTTTGGCTTAGATTTTTTTTTTTAAACCTACAAGGTATGAAGACGTAGAGTGTACACAGGAAGGGTGCTACCCTAACGTTTGGAGTAAAAACTTAAGCGAACTAGTTCTCTGAGGGGTAGGCTTTATTTTCCTGAATTGTACCTTCCCTCTGCCTCTTTTACTTGTCAAATAAAGCTTTCCCCTGAGCTGTTCCTGCTTCAGGCTGATTATCTGACCACACTCCAAGCAGAGGGACCCCTTGCATCCACTAACAGAGGCAGTCGCACCTGACAGATATTTCCTTTCCTTCCCTTCCCCTTTCTCTTCCTCCCCCTCTTCCTCATTCACATTTTCAATTATTTTAATAAGAGTATAAATATTTTAATGAAATAAATCTTGATATATATTTATAAAGTGAACACAATTCAAAATATAAAGAGTTACGGAAAATAATAATATGTTGGATATGTCAAGCTGGGTTGATTAATTAAAGCTTCCCATTGGTCATTAAATTGGATTAGATAACATCAGAGAAAAAGACTGCCTGTTCTAGGTTTTGTAAGTAAGCCCAAGTCAGTCGAGTGCAGAAAAGTAGATTGCCTGCATTAGAGAGTGAGGTTTGTCCAAAAAGAATGGATAAAGGGAAGAGAAATGCACTTTTTCAATCAATTCTTGAAATCGCAAAAATAGAAAATACACATTTTAAAAACTTTCAGTTGGGGCCAGTGATGTAGCACAGCCAGTAAAGCTACTGCCCGCAATACTGGCATCACACATGGGTGCCAATTCATGTCCCAGATGCTCCACGTTCAAATGAGATCCCTAAGGCTTGGTAAAAGCAGTAGCAGATGACCCAAGAGTTTGGGCCCCTGCGACCCACATGAGAGACCTGGAAGAAGCTCCTGACTTCTGGCTTAGCTTGGCCAGCCCCAGACGTTGTGGTCCTCTGGGAAGTGAACCAGCAGATGGGAGATCTCTCTGTCTCTCCCTCCTTCTCTGTAATTCTGATTTTCAAATACATAAATAAATCTTTTGTGAAAAAACAAACATTTCAGTTCATAGTTTCAATATTTTAAGATTAAAATTCAAGACCATCCAAAATTTTCTGACAGTCACATAATTGCTATAAATGTACCACTTAAAATAATTTAAATTTGCAATACCTGTTACATTATGCATATTGCTACTGCCTTCCATTAAAGACACCGTAAATGTCTTTCAGTAAGTAACAAGGCTGAAATTCCAGGTATGCAGACTGAGGTTCATGTTCTCATCACTACATTAGTGATACTTAATAAAGCGTGAGGAGCTGCTAGCTTTCCATTTGAAATTTGACTTAATTAGAATTTACATATGGAAAATGTAGCCCTTTTTAGAAAAATGTTTGATGAGGTCTTATAGATGTATAAAGTGGTACAACTACACCCACAATTAAGATACAGAGCATGTCTTTCATCCTAGAAAGTTCCCTATATTCTTTTATACCAATATTCTCTCACTGTCTCAGCCTCTGACAACCTGTGTTTTGATTTCCATACTTGAAATTTTTCCAAAATCTCATACAAATGAAATAATGCAGGTTAGATCCTTTTGCCCATTTCTTTTACTTAGCAAATGCTAAGTAAAACTCTTGGCCATAATTATAAGAGGTTATCTCTAGACTTCGAATTCTATTCCATTGATCTATATGTATCTAATCTTATACCAATAAGATATCAATATATATAGATATATTAATATATATGTTGATATCTTATATATCAATTGACATATCAATATATACTATATATTGATATCTTATATATCAATTGATATATCAATACTGATATATCTTATATATTGATATATCAATATTATATATTGATATACCTTATATATCAATATGTCTTATATATATCTTATACCAATAAGATATACCAATATCACGTTGCCTTTTTACTGTGGCTTTATATTAATTTGCAAATTCAGGAAATGTGAGTCTTGTAATTGTTCTTTTTTGAAACTCTAATTATTCGAGGTCTTCTGAATTCCTGTATAAATTTTTGGTCAATTACTGGAAAACTCCTAATGATAGTTTCTAATAAATGATTTTAGCACTGCTAACTTGTAATCTGCTTTCAGAATTTTCTTTGCCATTTTTCAACACCTTGACTATGATGTATTCATCTAGGGACAGATTTCTTTGGGCTCTTTTGACTTGTAATTGGTTGGGCTTCTTGGATATATAGACTGATATTTTTCATAAAACCTAAGAAATTTTGACCCTTACTTCTGTAAATACTGCTTCTTGCTCTTTGGACTTCAGTAACTCCTACACATCAGTATACCGGATGCTACTTCACATCCCTGAGGCTCAGTTCATTCTTCATTCTTCCTGATTTTCATGGCAAACTTTATCAGTCTTCAAATTCACTGATTATTTGCCAGCAAGTCTACTTTCAAAGTAATCAAGCAAATTTTCAGTTGTGTCTTTTATCCAATTTCTATTTATTTATAGGTATTCTCCATCTGGTGAAAGATCACTCACATAATTCTACTTTTTAAACATGGTTTCCTTTAGTTCTCTGGCTATACTTATTACTCCGCTGAAGTCCACTGAATTTTGTAAACTCAGTTTATCACCTGGGCCCCTGCATTGACAATTTCTATGGGACACTTGTTTTTCTTGAGTAGGGGTCATACTCTGGAACTTTCATTTTTCTTAATATTTTAATTATAAATTTTTTATAGGCCAAGTGCTTTGAGACGCTCAGTTTTTAAATATCCACATACATTTTAGTGATCAAGCAAATTCACTTTAAAATACTAGTTTCAGTTCATCTGTTGTTAGGACAGGAAGCCGATTTTAATGGGCTAAGAATTATATAATTCAATAGTGCAATTAATTAATTTGATCTATGCTTGGAGAAGTTTATTATCTAAGGAAACAAAAAACAGGATAGTTTGAGGTTACGTAAGATCAAGGATTTGATTGTCCATCAAAAATACTTCTAATAGTAGAAAACTGTTAAGACTTGCATTTGATCACTGGGCTGATTTAAAAATAGATGGAAAAGGACACACTTAACTAAGTGAAATAATATGTAATTAACAAGGCATCTTGCATCAGTTACCTAAGAATCAAAGTGAAACACATATAGAACTTCATATATTCTCTGTTAAAACCACATCAAAGCAGCTGATCTACATTACAACATGCTACCATATGCTGTGTCACCTCTGCAAAGTCAGACTTGCACATGGATCTTATGTAATGATTTTTCTTTCTTTCTTGAAAGGCAACCAACCATTGCTGAGCCTATTCATCCTGACCAGAAAAATCAGTGGATTAAAAAGGGAATAGGGGGCGCCGGTCTGTCCCAGTTGCTCCTCTTCCAGACCAGCTCTCTGCTGTGGCCCGGGAAGGCAGTGGAGGATGGCCCAGGTGCTTGGGCCCTGCACCCGCATGGAAGACCAGGAAGAAGCGCCTGGCTCCTGGCTTAGGATCAGCACAGTGCACCGGCCGTAGCGGCCATCTGGGTGGGGGTGGGGGGGTGAACAAACGGAAGGAAGACCTTTCTCTGTCTCTCTCTCTCTCACTGTCTAACTCTGCCTGTCAAAAAATAAATAAATAAATAAATAAAATAAAAATTAAAAAAAAGAAGGGATTGGGAGGTAATGAAGAAGATGCAGTAAGTTAGTCTGTTCCTTTAAACTTTAATGAAAAGACAAATACCCATGGATTTTGTTGGGTTATTCCATAAGGAAAAAATATATTGATTGTCCCCACCCAAAATTAATGCCCTTTTTTAAAAAAATTTATTTATTGGGGCTGGCACTGTGGTGTTGCTGGTAAAGCCACCACCTGTGGCACCAGCATGCTATATGACCACCAGTTTGAGTCCCAGCTGTCTACTTCAGGCTCCCTGCTAATGGCCTTAGAAAGCAGCAAAATATCACCAAAGTACTTGGGTCCTTGCCTCTCACATGGGAGACCTGGAGCACACTCCTGGTTCTTGGCTTCAGATTGGCCCAGCTCTGGCTGTTGCTGTCATTTGGGGATTGAACCAGCAGATGGAAGACCTCTCTCTGTCTCCCTTTCTCTCTCTCTGGTACTCTGCCTTCCAAATAAATGAATAAATTTTTAAAAGCAGGGAAAGGGAGGAGGGAGGAAGGGAGGAAAACATCAAGATCTTTCATCCACCGGTTCAATCTCCAGATGACTGAAACAGGCAGGGTTGGAGCAGCCTGAACAACAAAATCCATCATGGTCTCCCATGTGGGTGACAGGGGACCAATGACTTGGGCCATTCTCTGCTTTCTGAGGTGCATTTGCAGGAAGCTAGATCAGAAGCAAGGTACTCAGGACTTGAACCAGCACGCTGATAGGGAGTGCTGGGATCACAAACAGCAGCTTAACTCAAAGCACCTCAATGCTGGCTTCTTAATGTCCTCTTGTCTCTGTCTCTACCTCTGCTGCTCCAGGATTTGCAGCTTCTATTTGTAATAAAGCATATTAGGTATGGTTTAGTCATGCCTTGGCATTTACTGTAGTTGAATTACTAACATTTATGGGAAGGCACCTTATTTACACTGCCATCATCACAAACTGCACCATCGAACAGCTGGTCACTCAAGAAATCCAGAGCAGAACAGAAAGGATCCATAGAAAGCATTCATCTGCTTGCAAGAAGACGTATGTCAGCCAGAGCTGTCAGGGCTCTCAATGATCAACATTCCCTGTGCAATAGCAGCAAACAGTTGAAGCAAGTACTAACAAGACAAAATCTGAAGACTTGTCATATCCCATCACACAAAGAGTGTCAGCAGGCAAGGACAGCTGTGATTTGCTGTCATCTCAATATAAGAAAAAGAAACTAGTGTGAAAGAGTTTCACTTCTTCTAAATGTAGCTAACCATTTACTTAAACTTGCCAAATAATGATAACTGCTGCCGCCTAGGCAAGTCTATGATCACCAGTTTTATATTTTCTCTTAGTCCTCATTATCAGTCACATGAGGTACTTATTTTAGAGAGAGAGTTAAGGAATTGACTTGTGCTCACAAGTTTCTATTCTGTGCTTAATATTCTGCAAAACATAGAAATACAAAAATATATGCCTTCATGCCCACCTTCACAGAAAGCAACTGTATAGTCTGGTAAAATATATCCTAAGAAGTTGTAGCAAAAATGAGATGGTGATAACAAAACACACTTGATATTTTCTAAATGTGCACTGCATAGCATTCCATTTAGCACCCTCCTTTCATTATCCCCATTAATCTTCAAAGCCTCTGAGACAGGTGCTTTGTTAATATTTGTGGATGTGGAAACTGAATTCCCACGGAGTTGAGTTTAACCATCCTAAGTTATTAGCTAGTAAGTGAGGAATACTAGGACTGAGATATTTACCAACCACTCTAAGACACAAAGAGAGCTATTAACCAATATGGGAACTCACTGAAAGCTTCACACAGAAGTTTTTGACGTTTGAACGGAGGCTTGAAAATCATGAGTGCAGTGCAGTTTGAAGGAAAGAAGAAAATCTCAGGCCTGAAGGCACAACATACCAGGCAATTGTCACAAATCTGGGAACCATCAGCAGGTCTGCAGAGCTAGAGGAAATGGTGGGTGAATATAGCATTGAGTGGGAGCTCAGGGAATACAAGGGAGTTCTATCTAGATATTTTAAGGGCCTTGCCTTTATTCTTTTAAGACATTGATCTTTCACATAATACAGTCAGCAGCTCAGGCCTAGGCTTTGTCAATTGTTAACTCTGCTACCTTGATCATGAAAATATTCAATTCCTGTTTCTCCATCTGAAAAAAAAAAAAAAACAGGGATATATACAGTAGCTATTTGATAGGTTGTTAGCACTGAAGGAGAGAGCATTTGTAAAACACTTATTCTGGTACATCAAAAGAATATAATGAAAGCTATTCTCATCACTATTTTTATTAATTTTTTTAATTTTAAGTTTAATTAGCTTTTAACAGACTCAATGTGCTTTGCAGATACAATTCTAAGAACATAATGATATTCCCTTCTTCCTTCTCTTTACAACTCCAATTTCACCCTTATAATGTAAATTTTAAAGTAACCACAGATCATTAAAACTATATTACTATAACAGAAATTAATTGACATACATACAGCCAACTGATTTTTGACAAAGGTGCTCAGACATTTTGGTGGTGTGAGGATAATTTCTTCAATGATTGGTGCTAGCAAAACTGGATATATATATATATATATACACACACACATATTTGAAATTAGATCCATATCTCTCACTATATACAAAAATCAACTCAAGATGGATCAAAGATATAAATTTAAGACCTGAAACTATGAAGTTTCTGGATGAAAACAGGGGAAACACTCTAAGACACTGGTATAGGGGATGGCTTCATGCACAAGACTCCCAGTTCCAGGAATTCGTCTCACTCAATACAGCATCCTGATAAGGTGCATTGAGTGGTACTTAAGAGCAACAAAGAAACGAGAGCAGTACTGTGCTTATTGTGGCCAAAGATATCTTGCTAAATCTATGGGGAGATCAACCCAATTAGGGGGACCTCCAGCAAGTATTGATCCCCAAGCCAGCACTGGTACTCACAGAAGTCATATTCAGGGGGCAGGTATGCCCCAATAGCTGGTAAAAACCCTGGCATGAAGCGGAGTCCTTGTGCCTCTTGGTTAACTTAAAAATGCCAATAA